ATATATATATATAATTTCTCGAATAAGAACTTGATTATAATTGTATCAAACATGAAAATTTAATATTTAATGTTACATGAAAAAAAAATATCTGTCGTGATACGAACCTGCAACCTGCAAGGCTATCAAAATCTAGGAAACAATTAAATATATCTATTCATTTGTCAATTTGTTTGATTGTGGACAAATTAATCCAAAAAGTTGATGGCGTGTACAACACCCATCACCAGATAATAAACTGTCCCTGTAAAACTGGCTTTCAACCCCACTACAAGTTCTGCTTCTCATTCAGAAAATGTTATGCTGTTCTCATTTTGATTTACCGCAATGTCTGTGAGATGTATTTTTAAAAAATAATGTTTGATTTTGCAACTGAATTTATTAGCCTCCCTAAGCCTGTGCTCTACGGTTACGAGTTTATGGTTAAGCTATGTTTGGTTGCTGTAAAAGAAAATAAACATTTGCATAAGAACAAAGAATTTATTCGAGTCTAAGGCCAGCTAACAGATCGAAATGTCATTATTGCCGAAATACGTCCGTTTATACACACCTTTACGGGAATGTAATGCAACCTATCAAGATAATGTTGAATTTTGCAATGAACTTGAAACGACGTTTTTAAATAATTGTATTACAGAAAAGTAGAGTTTAGTAGTAAATAGAAAGCGCCGCTTTGAAAACGGATGTGTATCTAAAATAAAAAGAAATATGAAGGTCGGAACATCATTGGTCAAAGGCACGCCGACTTTATATGCATGCAGGTCCCGGACAAAACGTTCCAAAATAAATACAATAAACCTGACTATACATTTGACAACCCGAATAGTGCGACCAAATAATTCACTCACCATTTAACTTGGAAGCTATCAAAGAATGTGAACAATACGCTGACAAGATGTTAATCATCTTTGCCAGGCCATGGATCGAACCTTGATAATATATTTTTCTAGGAGGGCTTTCTAATATGTCATAGGTGGTAAAAGGTGTATTTTACCGTTTTTCAAACATGCGCCATCAATGATCGTGACGTCATCTAAAGCAATATCACCTGTATCACTCCTTCCTACAATTCCTTCAAACACTATCTGGAAGGCACTCATTGTTTCAACTGAGATTTTTCCAAGTCGCCAAAGGTTTTCTTGGTTGTTTGTATTTGTCCACGCAGGTACACCAACAGTACCTGTTGTATCGACTATGTATACATTCAATGTGTTCACTGTGGCCCCGTACATGTGGTAGAACCACTTGACGCATGTGCCGTTTGTTGCAGGATATGGCAATGTCCAAAGACGAGCGGTTTCATTGTTGTATCGCGGATATGAAGTTTCGATGTACATGTAGGAACCTGTAAGCAAATGAGAAAATAAATGTTCCTGTGTATTAGAGATTTTTTTTAAAGATCTATTTGATGTATATTCTATATATTTTGTTTGTAGTTTTAAATATTTTCATTAAAAATGTACAATTTAATTTAGAAAATATAAATTCATGTCAGCTTTTTAATACCTTGTAATGTTCCGTAAGTGTGGTCATACTCAGGACCAGTAGCAGATGTGGGTGTTGATCCAGACGTTCTTATCCAATCAAAATCATCCGTTTCATCTTGTACAAAGTAACAAATGTATGGATCTTCGAAATCACATTGTGTTTGCGCTAAAAATTATAGAAGAAAAAATAAAAGTAACTGCAGTAGTCACATTGGTTGTAATAATGCAAATAATAATTGTAACTTTAATAGTTGAAAATATTCTACATTTTCCTCTAGGCTTACTAGCATTTTTTGGCAGTGAGTTTTATTCTATTCCTATCTTATATCTGAGACAAGTTGTCTCAGCTTATATCTAATGAATTAAGTATGAACTTTTCAGTTGATTTAAAAAACTCCATGTACTTTACAAATGTCACTCGTATAGAGTCGAACCGGCCCTCAAAAATAGTTCTATGTTAAATTAACTACACAAAATCTTTAATTTGATATTTTAAATAATATCTTACATTATTCTTCAACTTCATGTTTTTTTTTTTGCTTTTTGAAATTTTCGACACCTAAATTAGTATGGCTATACGTTTTCTCAGTATTTTGTGATAATTACTGCTGGTGCACTCCAACAAAATTATAGAATTATAATTTTAAATTATAAAATTATAGATTCATGTTATAGCGGATAAAACACACTTTAACATTTAACTGAATCTAACACAATACATACTGTACAGTCTTTTAAAAAAGTGACCATGTTCTATACATTTTTATTAACCATATTCGGCACACTAGGCTTACCATTATATTTAGCTCAATAGGTAATACACATTTATCACTGTAAAAACTTACACGTATTGCATGTTGGTCCAACAAAACCAGACATACACTGACAGTCCTCAATTCCGTGATACGATACACAGACACCGCCGTTCAAGCAGTCAATATCGCAAGTTTCTTCAATTAGAAATGAAACATAACTTAAAGAAACACTCGTATTAATATAACATCATCGTCATGTGTTGCTGTATTTTAATTCTTTGATTTTACCCTATCTCCAATATGGGAATCTTATCTGGGGAACACCTACAAAAGTATAAAGGAAACCATTTGGAAACTTCTGAAAAAAGCTGCTAGAGTTATACCATTCTCATACTCTAGACCGGCATCTGAACCAGTATTTAACAAATTAAAAATACTCAATATTCGTGACATTTACAAACTTAATGTCATACAATTCATGTCAAACGTCAAATGTGGCAAATTACGTGTTTGCCACATGAACGTGTAGTATTTTCTATAAGTATACTATTTCCCAAAATCCCAGAAACAAAAATAAAATGCATGTTCCATTTGCAAGACTGACTTGTAAATAGCACTTTCTACACATAAGTGGACCCAAATTATAGAATTTTTGTTGGACAAAATCCCACATATTTTACGTAAAACTTACAAAGGTCTAAAATTATCTTTAAAAAAATTATCTGTTGTCAATGTACTTTATATAAGTAATGTCTACATGAGAGATCGAACATGAATGGTATCATTTGACAATTTGATTTGTCATCAATTATGATTATTAGCAATATATACTGTATTTGTTTTCCACTGCTTTTGATGGTTGCATGAATGTATTTTGTATAAGGAATACACACCGACACACCGTACAAGTAATTTGTCGATTTTTTCCGCTTTTGTGATTTTGTCTGATTGTGAAAGTTCGTATTCCTTGTTTTTGCTGAAATCCAATGTTTTTAGTATCATTTCTTATGAAATGATTCGCTGAAATCCGATATGTTAGACATACGTCTGTTAATAAATGCGGGAATATATTTCAGGATGGACGAAGGATGGTTAGGTTTGCTGTTGTCGTATAGCAGTTGATATGTTTGGTTTGTTGTAATACTTAAAGTATCCAATGCATAACAGATGGATTGCAATCTTGTCGCATTGCCTTGTCGAAGCTTAGGAGAGGTTAGGAGAGAACGTGTTTCGTATTTTCGGTACGTCGTATAACTTCCCGTATAAAATTCAATCCGGTCGTATCAATATTTCTTGATCCATGTTGAATTGTTACCGTTTTGTGGGTACATAATAATAATTATCTACTTTGTCTTCAGGGGTTCTTGTGTGCTTTTGTGTATATTGGATTTCATTTGTTGCGTTTTTAGCCCACTCTCTGAGAGAGAGGGCTTATATGATGATTCTGAGCGAATTTTGAAGTCATTTGTTTTTCTATCTTTTCCTTCGTTTGTGACGCGATTAGGCCGATCTTGCAATAATATGGAAGATAAGGCCTGGGGATTTTAAAGTATGAAGAGTTTTTGAGAAAATATTGTCGGGAAATATGTGAAAAAGTATGTCTTATATCTCTTAACACTAAGGTGGGTTTCCTATGAAAGCGTGTTCGCCATTGATCAGATTGCAAATCGCCTGTATATTCCACATTGTGTTTATCAACCAATCACAGCTTGGAATTATAAGCTTTGCTGCTAATAAATGCGTCTGCACGAGTTTAGTTGGTAGCGAAAAATGAGCCGTTTTGTGGTGCTTGGAAGGGTGGGTGGTCTCTCTCTCTCTTTCTGAGAGAAAAACAATGTACATTTCGTGTCAATGTACTGTAATACAGGCTGGCCGCGATTTTTTACCCGTACGAAACATTTGCATGAAACTCCACTCGGGTTGTCTCGACTGACTCGACTCGAAAATCGCAATTCTGGATGTCAAAAGGTCATCAACCAAAGATAAACGTCTACAAAACTTCTGAGATACAGGATTGCTGCTCGCTGTCTGATTTTGGAAAAAAAACACATTACCATTCTAATATAATGGGTCGTTTAAAACGACATATGTATTATTTGATTTCGCTGCACGAATAATAACAAGTGTTAGGCCCTATTTGAATTTGAGTTACATACTGTGCACATTTTTATTTTTTAGTTGGCCGCGGTTTTGGATAATTGTTTAACCTATGTCATGACGAATTCGAGTCAACTCGGCCCCA